CTCCGCTTAAATTAATTGCCAATCGGGTTACGCGTAAAGCTGCCGCGCGATCCAGAAAAATACTGCGAACGTTGACGACCATTATGATTACGCTGCAAGGACCGCCCGAAACAGGATAAAAACGGGAGACCGATGCTAGGAGGGGATTCGTTAAAATTTTGTCTTGCAATCACGTCGCGGTCTTAATTAATTAATGCAAAATTATACTGTTTAATAAATAAAGTTTATTGAAAAAAAAAACAAAGAGTGTTGTATTTGATGTCGAAAATCCTTAGTCGACTCCCTGGCCGATCTTTCTCCGAAACGACCAGCACAACAAATTCTTAGTTTCTAATATTTAAAGATGTCAAAATGTAATGAAATTTTGATGAAAGTTTTTTTTTCAAACCGATGCCATTTTGTGAAAAAAATTTTTTTAATCTGTATGCTGAAACTACACAGAGAGAAAGATTTCTTTACATTTACTATTTCTACTTGCTTGATATTTGCTTGATTAAAACAACAATAATGTTGAAATATTTACTTGTTTGAACGAACAAATTGTTTTGTTGCAACAAATTATATTATTTGATTGAATAAATACCATTGTTTGAAACAATTTATCTCGATAAAATGATATGTTCTTGAACTATACTTAATATTATTCAATGTAAGAAGACATGCAGTAATCTAAATGAATGCGGTGAAATTCTATTTCTTGTAAATAAAAATCATAAGATAAAATAAAAAAATGCATATTATGAGATTTCAAGTCTTTTTAAAATGATTTTTTCAAGATAAGTTCTGAAAATGAAGACTGCACTCATCTTTTCAAGACGAAAGTAAATTAAATATTATTTTGCTAATACAATGATAAATTTGATAGTACAATGATGATACAATCAATGATCGAGATGATGAAAAATATTTTTTCAGAAATTTAGACATTTCTTGATCTTTTAGATAACTTGGTGTCTGGAACTTTTATTAATATACATATAGTATTGGAATCATAATCATATATTAAATAAAATAAATATATTAAATAATTATAATATATTAAATAAAATAATGAAATTATTTAAATCAATAAAATATTTTCTTTCATATTCATTTATTTAAAAAGTCAATGTTTGTCAACTTACATAATGAATCAGTTGGATTAGTCCAAACAATAAATTTTGTTTAAATTAAAGAAAATTTAGTAAATTTAACGAAATATTTTTATGTATTGTTTCAAAATATAAAAATTTCTTTTATTTCTGATAAATATAACTTAAATTCTCTATACCACCATATTTTTTGAACCTAGGGATCTATGATGCTATGTAACATCACACATTTGTATTTCTACATATAAAAATTCTTAAAATATCTTAAAAGTTTATTCAATCAATGTGCCAATTAGTATTTTTTTAAAACTTATAGTTATTTTTAACAAATTTCAGAAAAAAGCCTTTTTCTGTACATTTACAATAGTATATCTCTAAATTATAACATATTTTTAAAACATCTTTGTAACAAGAAACTCGCTGTATAAATCATATACCATGATTTTTATCCAGTAATTCTTGAGATATTAGTCTGTAAAGCTTTGAATCACATACACATTTATATCAATTGATGTAAAGAAAATATAAATTTTGTTTTAAAAAAATTGTTTTACATAAATTCTTCTTTTCTTTACATCAAAGCGAAAATTTTAAAATTAGTATATAATTTCATATTTAAAAGCATGCTTCTTTTGTTTAATATCAAATCTTTAATATTAGAAAATCAAGAAAAATAAATATTTGATATATTGATATAAGCCGAATATATATTAATAAAGAAAAGAATCATAGCCAATTCTTCGGTAAGTAGGATCTTGATTGCGAAATTTCTATATATAAAATAAATTCAAACAATTTTTTATTACCAATCACGTGCCATTATTTTTAATAGACAAAGCGGTTCTACAGCAATTCAATAATCAAATATGTTGATCAATTAAAATCCCTTCTGTTACCCTCCCTACAGGAAATATATATTGCGAAAAATATCAGCTTAGCTAGGAATCGAGCGTATTAACACTGTAATAATAATTCTATCACAATTCTATCTAATAAATAAATGCATATATGTTAAAAATATATCCCTGATCAAAATCTGATTTTTCGTTTTCAAATTTTTATAGAATTTAATTTTGAATTATAAAAAGAAATGGTTCACTTATACAAGATGTATAAAAAATATCAGGACGACGAAAGATTTCGAAAATAACTAAGCATTTTAAAAAAGTGTCAGATAAAAGTTAGAGGGTTTCAAAAGATCTATTTATTGGCAATATTAGTTTTGTAAGAAATAGACAACCGTAAGCGATTATGAAAGAGATTCAGAATATAAACAGCTAACAGAGAGGAGCCGTCGCGGTCGTGCAGACTAGTGTCTTGGTAGTAAGCGAGAGATCTCGAATTCAAATCCAGTCGGTCTCCATTTATTTTTCCGAATTTAATAAATATCTTTCAGTTTAATCTTGGATGACGTCGCCAAGGCGTCAGGACAAGGTTCCCTTGAATTTTTTAAATGGGACTTCCTATTTTTTATTGCATATTTTTGTAGCTGATCTCGAGAGCTTTTCAAAACATTATAATAAAGTATTTTTTTAGCAAATACTTTCTGAATTATGAGGCTTGAATTTGGTATGCAATTTAACATAAAGTATAAAATATCTCGTAAACTATTCATTTTTTGGCTATACCTTAATATTTTTATGCGCAGAATAATGAGATAAATCAATTGATGTAAAGAAAATACATAGTTGTTGTTAAAAAAAAATGGAGATTTGCAATATGTAATATACAAAAACTAAGTTTTAGATTAAGTTTCGGAAAAGGAAAAGTGATATTAAAAATGTCTTTTAAAAAATAAATAGTTATTCTGAGATAGCTAGTATCTTACTAAGAAATAATATCAATAGTATCAAATGCAAAGATGAGGAAATACTTACGTAGAATCAGGACTAAACTTGCAACGAAGAGCATAACGTTTATGAGCTAAAAGTTTGTGACGAGGATTAAGTTTTGTGGGCTCCTCTCCGATACCTCCTGAAAGAGTCCAAATGTAGCAATGTCCCTTATTATTCACTGCTGCCATATAAGTTCCATCCTGATCTATCGCAATATTCTGAATTGAAGATTCAGCTTCGGGAATCTATGAAAAAAGCATTTAGTAAAATCCAAAAATTACTCTATTATGTTTGATTTGCAAGCATCTCTCTCATGTATTCCTAATAAATTTCTTATATAAATTATAAATATTTCAATATATTATATAAAGTATATTAGATAAAAATATTAAAAAGAAATCTTAAAATTTTATTTTTTGAAAATTTTTTGTAGTTTTCGATTTTAAAAATATAAAATTTTCAAATATAAAACACAGAAACTCATACTAGCTGTTCATTGTGATCAGAACGAAGATCCCATAAGTGTATGACTCCACTTTGATCACCAACAATTAGTTCTGCTTGATTAGGATGTAGACATACACAATTTACAGGCGCAGATACTTGAAATATTCTTTGGCATTGGAAGCTGCTAGATCTGTCATTAAATTTAATATTGAGTTTTGTGTATGTGTGTACATATATATGTATATGTGTGTGTATGTATATATATATATATATATATGTATGAGATATACGAGCACATGTATATATATGCATACATATATATGTACATGCATGTATATAAATTCTTATCTTCTGTAAATAATTTACCTTAAATCCCATACTCTTGCAGAACAATCTTCTCCTCCTGTATACATCCATTTTCCTTCTTCCTATTTGTAAGAAATATTCATATAAATATTATTATAAAATATAATTTAAAATATATAATTCAAACTATCAAATTAATATAAGTAAAAGCAAAAATATATTGTATATATTAATATATAATATTGATACAAAACCTGAAAGCCTAAACTAGTGATGTTTTTTGATACTCCTTCATAATTAATTACTGGATTAGGATTATTTGAAGCTAAATCATACATTCGTATGTGCTGATATCCAGCAGCAGCTACAACATATTTATCTGGTGTAATATCTAATGCATTAACTTGCTGTAAAATTTGTTAAGGAAATTAAAAAAAAGCTACTGTAAAATTTTTTACCAATAAAATTTTAGGTTAAAAATGCTTTTGAATAATAATATAAAACTGCTATTCTATACATACTATAAACTTTTTTTACAATATATTTATGAAACATAATTTAATCTAAACAAAAAGTATGTTATGTACATAAAAAAATTTCTTTCATAAATACTAAAGGATACTGAATCGGTGTGTTGGCATGTACGTTGACAAACTCCTGTATGCGGTTGCCATATCTTGATAGTATGATCATAACCTCCCGTTACAAAAATCACTTGTTCATTACTAACTGCGCAATCAACAGTCATTTCCAATTTATTTACCTTATTTCTTAATTGACAAAATTACAATATCCTGCAAAGATCACAATTACAATGGAATTATATCAAGTTTCTTGTAGCAAAACTTTTTACACAATTTAACTATTCTCTTTTATTCGTTGGAGAAATTAGTGTAAAATCAGCAAAAAGAATAGATCTCTCATTTATTTATTTATATTTACTTTATCGATCAATACAAAAGTTCATACCTTTGACTATATAAATATGGACTGCTAGTAGCTCATTTCACTCGTGACGCCAACATTAATTTGGACAGTGGCGCTATCATGTCCTACGATCTAGAGACACTATGGATGCATTCGTTTACGCAGGTTTTGTGCATCCATTGCTTTCTCATCTGCTTATCACGTGATCGAAATTTGCCGAACGGATGACTGCGTGAATAACTGCACGGATCGTATCTTCCAATAGAAATTGAGCCGATTGTTTGAATGATAAGTAAAGAGACAGTTTTATACATAAATTTATATTCGAAATTAAAATGTAATAAAACATTTTTATTGTATAAAAGATAATATTTTATTGATATTAAATTTAATTGATATAAATAATGGATTATAAAAAATATTGATATAAATAATGGATTATAAAAATATTTAATCTATGAATTTTAAAATTATATTTATATATTAATATAGTTATATATTAAGTTAGATATTAATTTTTTGTGAATTATATTTTATTATTCTTATTTTTTTATTTTTATTCTTATTTTTCTTATTTTATTCTTATTTTTTATATTTATTTTTTCTTATTTTTTTTATTTTATCTTATTTTTATTTTAATTATATCTTATTATTCTTATTTTACTTGGATCAATTATTTGTTTCTGATCTTTTTCGCTTCTTGTTCTAATAAAATTCATTTTAGTGTTCGTTTACGCAGTACTGCAAGCAGAGTATCCAAAGCAGGACTTCCGAGATAGCTGCACAGATGAGATACATCCCTGCGTAAACGAACGACGAACTGCGCTGCAGTCATTTTCGCAGACGGAGTAAACGAATATATCTGCGGTAGTGACCGCATAAACGAATGCACCCATAGGGTGAATAAGAAGCCAAAAGAATCAGAAATAAATAATTGATCCAAGTAAAATAAGATATAATTAAGAATAATAAAATATAATTAAAATAAAAATAAGATAAAATAAAAAAAAATAATAAAAAATAAGAATAAAAATAAGAAAAAGTAAAAATAATAAAATATAATTCACAAAAAATTAATATCTAACTTTTAAGTAAAATTCATAGATTAAATATTTTTTATAATATCCATTATTTATATCAATTAAACTTAATATCATGTAAGAATTAGACGACCGTAAGCGGTCATGAAAGAGATTCGGAATATAAAGTTAATAAAGCTAAGAAAGAGGAGCCGTCGTGGTCGTGCAGACTAAGTGTCACATTAGTAAATGAGGGATCCCGAGTTCAAATCCAGTCGGTCTCCGTTTATTTTTCCGAATCTAATAAATATCTTTCAATCAGTAAAATATTATCTTTTATACAATAAAAAAGTTTTATTACATTTTAATTATTTGAATATAAATTTATGTATAAAATTGTCTCTTTATTTATCATTCAAACAATCAGCTCAATTTCTATTGGAAGATCCGTGCTGTTATTCACGCAGTTATCCGTTTAGCAAATTTCGATCACGTGACAAGCAAATGAGAAAGCAGTGGATGCATAAAACACTATGTAAACGAATGCATCCTATAATAAGAGACTGGCCATGACTCTGATCCGCCAATTAGAGGGTTAAACGACAATTTCCCGAAAAATGGAGGGGATAATGTTGATACCAACGAAATCCTCTAAACAAAATAATTTTAGTTTCTATGAATTAGTAGCTGTTTAAGTAGTAATGGCTGCGTTCAGGGGGTCAATCATGTAACTTTTCCCCTAAAGCGGAAATGTAAAAAGTGAAAAGTTTCACGTGAACTTACGATCATGTACGATTTTGCGGGATCATGTAACTCTCTCAAACGTGAAAATGTGAAATTTTTCACGTGAACTTTTTCGCCATGTACCTTTGTGGCGGAAAGGCAGAAATATAGGGAATTAATAAATATGCTTTAGAATTAGAGAAGATTAGGGTTGCGTTAGGATTAAGTGTACGTAATACTGTGTAAGAATTAGACGACCGTAAGCGGTCATGAAAGAGATTCGGAATATAAACAGCTAACAGGAGAGGAGCCGTCGTGGTCGTGCAGACTAAGTGTCGGATTGGTAGACGAGGGATCCCGAGTTCAAATCCAGTCGGTCTCCGTTAATTTTTTCTGAATCTAAGTGTCGGTCTACAATAAGTATTTAATCTTTAAGCCGTAAGAAATTGACTAATCATAGTCGAGTATTCTTTTCATATTCGATTATAATTGGTCAATTTCTTACTTCTTAAAGCTTAAATCACCTATTGTGGACCGACACTAATAGATATCTTTCAATCTCAGAAGTGGGATTCAGCCTATGTTACCTCAGAGAAGATACAGCCTCTATGTTACCTGACAGGTCGATCGTTCAAAAGTGAACGGAAAAAGTCGGGGAGTAGTACTCCAATGTCGTGTCGATCGTTCAAAAGTGAACGGAAAAAGTCGCGGAGTAATACTCCAAAGTCGTGTCGGTCGTTCAAGAAGTGATCGAAGTCGGGAGCAGAAGCTCCAAGTTTCGGATAAAAGTCCGATAGAGGAAGACTCGGTACATTCGGGACGAATGTAATACCAGAATGGCCGAGCTGTAAGAATTAGACGACCGTAAGCGGTCATGAAAGAGATTCGGAATATAAACAGCTAACAGAGAGGAGTCGTGGTCGTGCAGACTAAGTGTCGGATTGGTAGACGAGGGATCCCGAGTTCAAATCCAGTCGGTCTCGGTTAATTTTTTCCGAATCTAATAGATATCTTTCAACTGTACCAATAAAATAATTTTCATTAGCTTTCAAAACCTATGAAACTATGTTTCATGATTTCACTTTCCACGCATCCAAGCTACATACATAAGCTACATACATACATTTCGCTGTATGTGAAAAGTTTCACGTGAAATGTCAAGGTGTGAAAAATGAAAAATAAAAAGTGAGAAATAAAAGTGAAAAATTTCACCTAAAGTTACATGATTGACCCCCAGCAGAAAAAGCAGATTAGTAAGCGTTCAATAATTCTTTATTATGATTGGTTTCTACACTTACATTCAACGAAGATCTAAAGGCAAGGACCAATCATATTGAAAAATCACTGAGTGCTCATTAATCTGCTTTCTCTGCTGAACGCAGCCAATCTGTTGGTTTGCATCATAGACATATAATATAACCTCCGCATACTATATACTCTTCTATACCACCAGTTGGGTTTGGCAGAACGGTGAGAGAAGCAAAATATCGGGGAATATCTGTCCTTTATTACGCGCGCATTATTGACAAATAAAAATGACCTACTCAAGAATCATCTAATATCCGTAGCAATATACTTGTATTTAAAGGGTGATACCCGTTTGACTACGTCCTGATGACCATTAGCCTTACAGGAGCTGGCGCCTAGAATTTTTCCATTGTTCAAGCGCTGTGAGTGGCTAGTGGTCAATCAGGGTGTCACTCATATTTCGCCTCTCGCACTGTTCTGCCAAGGACTGATATATATAGCTAACGCTGAGTCTATTATATATGTCTATGGTTTGCATATCTTTTTTGACATATGCGCGGACGTGTACGTAATAAGTTTATATATCAGAAAGTAAATATAAAATACATTATAGTATTTTATTAATATAATAATAGTTATATTATATATATGTTATATAATAATAGTATATTATTATATAACATTAATGTATGTAATTTATCATTGTTTTTCACCTTATTCGCTTTATGTTCTCACTTATTATGTCTTTACTTATTTGTCTTTATTTAATTTTATTTTAATAAAATATTATAATATATTTTATATTTACATTCTAAAATACTTATTACGTATACACCCACGCATATATGCAAACCGACAAATTACTACTTCAACAATGCTATTAATCCATAGAAACTAAAATTATTTCGTTTAGAGGATTTCGTGGTATCAACATTATCCCCTCCATTTTTCGGGAAATTATCGTCTATCAATCAGAGGCACTGACAGATCCACCATGTTTTTGGCTAAATCCTACGATAAAGAAAGAAATATACACTATCTCACTCTAACCAATAACGTGTTTTGATTAGAGTGAAAGAAATATACATCATTTCACTTTAACCAATAGCGATATTTTTTACTTGCGTGTGCATTGATTTAAATGTATTGTGCATGTATTAAACACATAGAAAACATGATAATATGTTATTAAATAATAAAGATACTAAAATTGCAAAATATATAGTTATAAATTAATTAATTGTGATAAATCAATATAAAAAATGGATGTTCATTTTTTTACTTAAATTTTATTTTATATTGTGATAAAGTTTGTTTATAATAATAATAAATATGTATAATAATTCTTTCTAAAAAAAGGCATGACATCGATGCTTGCATCTCTCGAAATTTTCTCGAAGTTTATTGTTGACGCTTTTCCGCGATGGGTTCTCTCGTTGTACTAACTTTATAAATAGCTGTTATTGTATTGATTTCACAAAGGATCGTTTTGACAATTGTGTCAAAAAATTAAAAATATTATAGTGTAACAGTAATATAATAGTATTATATTAATTTTTGCTCTTGTATTGAAAAAGATAAATAACAAAAAAATAAATTTAAAATCGTTAAAATTAAAGGATATATATTAATAAATTGGTAATATAATTATGTAAAATAAAGTTTTATAAATATACACATTTTATTAAAATGCTTATGTTTTTAAATTATAATATTACAATTTAAAATTAATGTAATTAAGGTTCCTGAATAGTCGCTGCGGCCATATTGGAATAGTCATAAGTGAGAAACGACACGTAAAAGTTTGCTACACTTTTCCTGTAAATAAAGAGATGTTGCAATAAAATAACACTTGAGATGACTTGTCATCTCATGATAAAGATCTAATTATCAACAACATTTTGCCAGCTGTCTTTTATAAAAATGGTATCTTTCAATGGTATTGTTCCCAAATGACTTTGCAAGTCTCTATTACACTATTTTAAAAATATTGTGTCCAACACGGAAGGCATAATAATTGCATACTATATTCTGATGTCAAATACCTGATAGTTATATGCAACCTTGTTTCAGGTGGAATAGCTTTTTGAATCAGATTGTTTAGCAATCGATGATCCGACTATTTGTAACAATTTCTCAAAAAGTGTCGGTTTCAATCGGAAATAATTAACAAATTTTTCACGATCTTGTTGCTCCAGTTCATTAACAAGATTATCGCTTGCTCCTTGTGCTAATCGTCATTTAATACTAAATATTGGACTGATCCAATATTTTCGTTTTCCTTTATCAGCTTTTTTTTATTTTTTATTAATGTAGAATAAAGTGCATACATCTTAATAATTTTATAATATATTTCCTGCCTAATAAAAGTATTGAAAGATATCTATTAGATTCGGAAAAAATTAACGGAGACCGACTGGATTTGAACTCGGGATCCCTCGTCTACCAATCCGACACTTAGTCTGCACGACCACGACGGCTCCTCTCTGTTAGTGTTTATATTCCGAATCTCTTTCATGACCGCTTACGGTCGTCTAATTCTTACAGTATTATGATTGTATTTCAGACACTTTGTTAATAACAAAAGCCAAAGGAATATTGTTCTTAATTTCATTCTACATCTGTTAAACCAATTGTGAATTTTTTCATTTAATTATATTTAACAATAAATATTTAATTGTGAATTTAATTAACAATTAATATAAATATTATATATATTATATTAATTATTAATTAACAATTAATACTTAATAAAATTTAATTAACTATTCTTATCTAATTAACAATTAATATTTAGTGAAATTTAATCAAATTTATTTACACACTATGGGTATTTTTTCGCCTATTCTCTTTCTTTCTATGGTCTTATCATGTACTTCTCACAGGTTTTACAAATAATTAAATATTTTTAATTATTTGATGCTTACGCGATTCTCTTTAGCAATTCTGTCAAAAATAAAGAAATAACTGCACAGAAATCAGATTCGTTTCTATCGCGAACTTTCCGCTGTTTTCGGTACGCGAGAGTTTCGTTCCTTGGTTCCTTGGTTTGGGGTGCGTCTCCATAAAGAAGAAAATAACGGAACGGAATAATAACGAAAGGAAACATGGTGGGGGGCTAACCAATCAGAATGATTCCGTTCCGTTTTTTTATGGCCGTGTTCCCCATGACAAACATTTAACGGAATGGATTTATTACGGAACATGAATTTAATCTGTTATCGGATACATCGTTGAACGACACAATATAAAGCCACTTTAACCGTTCACCCGAGAAGACATAAAAAAAAAAAATAATTTTGCACAATATGGTGTAAGATTCTTGTACTTTTTAAATTTAAATAAAGTAACCGTTTTGTCAGGAATTAATGTCCGTTTTTCTTTAATTATTGTCTATGATTTAATACACGCACTGAGAGAGGTACGTATACCGGCACGTATTGGATAATGGAGCAGGCTTAATAACTTTTCCACAACTTTAATAGACTGCGGTTTATCTATATTTTCACTGAGTCTACAACGTAATACAACGATTTAACAGATATCGCCTGTAACGATATCTCGACTATATTCACTACAATTACTACTTTCGACTATTCGACTTGAACTCTCGCGGATGACACGTCCGTCTCATTCGCCGACTAGGGAGAGAGTCCCCGTCGCTCGCTGCTCCGCGCATCGGAGCACGTTCGGTGATTTCAAAGTTATCAAAGATTGCATCAGCCCTTGTCTGATTGGTCCTTTCCTAGTGTCACTCACTCGTGTCGTGTTCGATCGAGAGGCGCTCTTTTGGTTACTGAACAGCACTCATGGCGCCATCCACCGGTTGTCCTAGGGACTTCTTAGTAACTTTCTTACAATGGTATATAATATTATAGTTGCGCCAATGAAATTTTTGGCTTTAATCGAGACGTAAAATTTTAAATTTATACCAAAGCAAAAGCGTAACCTAAAATGCTTTATATTAATCTTAATAAGATAAACAAATTAAAGTACTTTAATTTGTGACTTAGTAACTTAAGTGCTTAGGTACAATAAATTTAGAATTTTACGTCTCGATTAAAGCCAAAATTTCATTAGCGCAATTGAGTCTTAATTTAAATAAAATATTTTAATATCATAATATTTAATATTATATGTTTAATATTATATGATATAACATCATATTATATAATATTATGTCATGTACATATATAATAATATTATATACCATATTATGCAAAAATTGCTTTTTTTTGGATGTCTTCTCGGATGAAGAGAATGGTTATAGTGGCTTTATGTCGGGCCAATGATGTATCTGATAACATATTAAATTCACGTATTTTATAATAAATCCGTTCCGTTAAATATTTGCCATGGGGAACCGGTCATGAAAAAACGGAACGGAATCATTCTGATTGGTTAGTCCCCACCATGTTTCCTTTCCGTTACTATTCCGTTCCGTTATTTCCTTGTCCATGGGGATGTATCCTAAAAAACTATCGGAAACAGCAGAAAGTTCGCGATTAGTCAGATTTTCGATACGTGTGATCCGCGATACACGCGATACGCTCCATGGAACTGCACCTTCAGAACAATCGCTCTGTAAGGAAGATCAAGTTATGAATATCGGCCTTATTATTTCTTATGCGCTTCATGCTTTCATCACGTGAGGTCTCTAATATCAATTCAGAATTAATTTCCGTCACACCTGCTGAAATATGAAGTGTATGATTATCGACGTAAGTCAATGCAAGTACATGCATAGAGTAAAACTTGCAACAAAAACAGCTGTTTTATATTAAAAAAAGAATTCATCGAACAACTAAATAATACATTAGAAATAATGAAGTAGCAATAATTCTGATTTATATTAATATAATGTTGTCGAGAATAATGGAAAATCAATTGAGATTGAGATTTATTTATGGGAATATCATTTAAAATGCAGATATTTATTTTAAGTGATGATTAAAATGATTTTGCAGAGACATTTCTGACATGAAATGATGCAGTCTTAGTTCTAATTTTCATAAATCTGAAATCATACAGCGATAAATCGATCTTAAGCATGGATGTGGTGACTACTAGCTTAGAGGCTTTGATACGTGAGTGTATAAATTAAATAATTGATTTACAATTTTTCTGTTCTCTGTTTAAATGTAGTATCTTGAATATTGAATCATACTTCTGATATTATGTCTAGTTCTTAT